CGTGCTAATACAACCATTGGAACACTGGCTCCATCCCCTGGAACTGCCCATTGCACATGTAGTTCATAAAAGACCCGAGTGGTGAGCAAATCCAGCTCCTTCAGCCCGAGGGAAATGCCAGGGGTCACCGGTGTCAAATGAAGTTTGCTCAGACAAGGCAGACAGGGAGCACAGGAGGAAGTTGATGTGCACTTCAAAGGGAAGAAATTTGTCCAGTCTGCAAGGCAGTTCTGTGTGTGGCTTAGTAATGAGTTTCTTTTGAAGAAATACTGTTACACAGAAGTCTATTTAACTGGAATGCTGTTACAGGGCATTCTCTGCTAACAAAAAAGAGAATACACTCGGGAAAGACTCCCTGCAAAACACCATCACGGTTTTAGCCAGGAGATGAGTGGTCCATGTAGTCTTTGCAAGTGGCTCACCTACTGCTGTCAGGCCAAAATACGTCGTGGATGTGAATTTAATTAACTGAAGTACATCCTGAGACTAATTTTCAGCGAACTATGCTGCTATTAATCAGGAAGCAATTTGCATGGCGAGAGCCGAGTTGTTCCCATTGTTCTACACTTGTTTTGTTTATCTCCAGTGATGTGACAAAATCTTATGAAACTTTACTCATCTGAAAGCCAAGACTCTGAGTGCTCCTGTACTGGCAGAGAGATTTATGGTTCGTGTCACCCAATCGATGCTGCAAGAGCAGCACTCGGGGAGGGATGAAATGCAGAGCCCTGGGATAACCAGGAGCTCAACCGCTGCTTAACTTCTCCCATGTGCTCTGCGTCAGTCCTCTTATCTGTACAAGAAAGGAAACAAAGTTCATCTCTCTCTGCAAAGCACTTGGAGATATTTTGATAAACTGTGTTATTCAAACACAGCATTTTCCAAGGTCAGCTCTCTCTGCACAGCTCAGACACTGCTTAAATAGACTGATCCTCAACTTCTCTGGATTTACAAACATCATTACCAGAGCTCTCACTCCAGCATCTACTTCCTTACCGAAGATTTAGCCAGCTCGTTAGCACACAGCAGGAGACAGCTCCAGCAGGCAGGAGTGGGGCTGGGAAATGACCCTCCAGGTCTTGCTCCCAATCCCAGGGAGGGCCAGGGGCCCTGGAAGTGAGTGGGCAGTGCCAGCCAAAGCCCCTGCACAGGCTGCAGGGACTCATCACTCCAAACCCTCAGCCCAGACAGCTCTTTAATGGACTTCACAGGCTGGAAAGCACAACTGAATTGAGCTGGAGATGGCCAAACCCCAGTTTCCTGGCTAAGCAAATACTAGAGAGTATTAAAGTATTTATTACATTTAATCAGATGCACATAGAGGAGTCGTACCTGTGGTCATCAGGTGTTTGTGACTAGCACTGAAGTACAAGTAGCACATGGTAAAATAACCTCAGACTGCTCTGAGAACGGTTCCAAAGTGGGAAATGGAAATATCTGTGTTTTGGCTCCCCATTTCATGGCAGAGTGCTGAGGCACCACCTGTGTGTGGCAGGCACCTCACACTGACAAAACCAGGAACAAAACCTTCACACCTGCTCTTGCCACAATTCTCTGAGCAGACACTGCTCTGCAGTGTCAGATTGCTCAAGTCCATACACCTTGCCTACATACACTGTAGAACATTGATATCTTACTGCTTTACTACTAAAAAACAATAAACTGCAAGTGTCTTAATAAACCAAGCCACGTTTTTGCATCACACTTTGCCAACTGTGGCTGTTTGCAGTGACTCTCCCAGCCACGAACACAAGTGAACAAATGCAGAGGTTTTACCTTACCCAGCCAGCACCCCCCCGGTGTGCAAACACCAATCTGCACTTGTCCAGCCTTAGAGCATTGTCACTTTGCTCCACTTCAAGGGATAGTGGCTTTTTATTCTTCACTCCCCCAAATCAGTATTCTAATTGACGCACAACAGACAGGCAGAAGGACACAGAGGACCTGCCACCAACCTGATGGGGATGATTATCCAAAAATGAAGGTCAAATCAAAGGAAAATTCAAACCTGTGTCCAGCCAGAACTAGGACAAACTGACACGAGCAGAGGAACAGCACAAAGTGAGGAGTCTTTAAATAAGGGAGTTAAAAAAAAGTCTCTAAGATTAACTACAGACACAACCTAAAGAGGGCATGGATAAGGCAGCTAAAACTCTCAACTAGGGAACAACAGCCTGAAGTCCCTTTGGAATGCCTGCACTCAATGCCACAATTTAAGAAGCACTTCAGGAGATATCTCCAGTATCTCACACAGGAGATGTGCTTCCTTTTAATGTAAAACAGCAAGTCTAAATATCTGAAAACTATCTGAATAGGCTGTTCAGAACAAAGTCACAGAATCCACGTGTGACATAATATAAAATACCTAAAAGGAACACCTTATTCTTTCAGGGATTGGTTCCACAGGAAACCAGAAAGCCAAAGGGATCCCTCAAACAGGCTGTTTTGGCAAAAGGCTTCTGATCACTCTCCCTGGGAGGTTGGCACAGCCCTGAAAGGCTGTGGAATCTCAGGCCCTGAGAGTGTTCCAAAGCCCCCTGAGCTCCGCCACCTCGCTATAACACGCTGCCTCAGCCACCAAAACTCAGGGAAGGGAGAGGAAGACAGAACTCCCAGTGCTGGCACACTTAACCTTCCACATTTCAATTAGCAGATGGATATAAGGAAATCCAAAAAGTGCAGAGAAGGGTCACAAAAATCATTATAATTATTTACATAGGCAGAAAATCCAACAGCCCAATGCCTGCAAGGTAACAAAAATGATTCGCAGTCTCATCCCAGACAGCAAAATGTGGTGCACAAGAAATTCCAGCTGCATCAGGTGCCTCAGCTCAGCATCACAAAGTTCACCTCCAGTTGACTCTTTCAGCTCCATTTTAAGCTTTCCTTCCACAATTTTACATAACAAATGAAAATGAGTTTTCATCCATTTTTCACCCAACCTGGACATCTCAACAGTTCAGCCTATTTGTAATTCAACATAATAGAAGCCCTGGGTGGGATAAGGAGGAGGAAAACACAGCATTCTCCATGACCTTTTGCAGATTTCCAAACCCCATCTCCTGTACATACAAGCAATCTGTTTTCTTTTACTACAGAGCAATGACTCATTACTTCAATCACTTCAGAACGGAAGAGAATTCCATCTGGCATTATGGATTAGCAGCCAAATTACACAGGTCTTGATCTAAAGGTTGACTTGGTAATAACAGAAAGCCCTAAACTAAAGTGCATTTTAATATGTCCAATCACTCACCATTTCAGTATCTCTCAAAGTTGCTCTGCCACCTTCCCCACACTGGGAAGTGCTCACAGGATGAGAGCACCAACCCCAAGCAGGCAGGGCTTGGAGGCACCATGGGGAGCAGGACACAGCTGTGTGTGTTTAAACCCTTCCACCAGGTGCATCTCATTCAGTTCTGAAGCACTGATGCTCTGAGTACACAGAAGCATGCACTAATCTGAGGTTTAAATTGATTAAAGTCTTCCCCAAAATTATACTGACTAGATACTGGGAGGAACTGATACCTCCAGAGGTGCCTCTTCCCTTTCCTTAAAGCCTGAGTGCAATAAATAACCCATCCATTATCTTCCCACCGACTCTGCTTATCCCCATTGCCACCTAGAAACACAGATTTCACTCATCTCACCTGCAGCTCTCCTGGTGCTGCTCAGCTCCTCTTCTCAGGCAGAAGGAAGAGCACACAACAGGTGATGACTCTTTTCATTCCCTGGATGCTGCAGAAAGAGGGATCAAAAAAGTCACATCAGTAACCACCACAGGGAACAGGAGACATGAGTAACACCTTGTTGGAGGGACTTCTGTCTCCCAAGTCTGAGGAGCTTATTTGTGGGTGTGATAATTGATTTCAAACAGAAAACACCTGGTTCACACAAAGGGCAAAAGGAGGTGAAATGATGGTAAGAGCTTCCTCAACCTCCAAAACAACTGACCCAGGGGGTAAATACAAAAGCTAATGGAACCACCAGCATGTGAAGAACGCAGGCATGGCTTTGTTTTTCCAAGACACAGCTCAGTTTGCAGCTCAGAGAGAGGTGGTTTATGTTAGATATTGGGAAGAAATCCTTCCCTTTGAGGGTGGGCAGGCCCTGGCACAGGTTTCCCAGGGAAGCTGTGGCTGCCCCATCCCTGGGAGTGTCCAAGGCCAGGTTGGACGGGGCTTGGAGCACCCTGGGCTAGTGGGAGGTGTCCCTGCCCAGGGCATGGCTCATTACTGGATGAGCTTTAACGTCCATCCAACCCAAACCAGTCTGTGATTCCAAGGCAGAACTGGGTTCCATGGTCTCGCAATTTCCTTTATCCAGGGAAGAAAACTGATGGAATTATGCCCTGCCAAAGCAGCCCAGGGAAGGTCAGGCTGGGCTCTGTTCCTGCAGGTACAGCACCTGCTGGGGCTGTCCCGTCCCCAGAGCGGGGGGACACATGAACCTACTAAAAATGAACCCAAAAAAGAACCAAAACCAACCCCTAATACCTTCAAAACACGCAAGGCTTCACAGCCACGTGAAGAATTAAAACAACTCAGCAGTTTAAAGGACAACTTGTGCAAGCACAGGACGCACAGCCCACCTCGGTGCCTGGAGGGGCAGAGTCCTGCACGAGCACTTTCCCGCAGCCCTGGCCCAGAGCAGCCGCTTTGCCCGGACGGTGCGAGGGTTTGTAGGGCGATGGGGGGCTGTGTAGAACTGTGCGGCACCCTTGGGGGCGGCACTCTTTAGGACCATTGCGAGGGGGCGGCACTCTTTGGGACCATTGCGAGGGGGCGGCACTCTTCAGGACCATTGCGAGGGGGCGGCACTCTTCGGGACCATCGTGGGCGGGCAGGGCGGGTCTCCCCTCACAGCTCCGCCCCTCTGAGGGGCAGCACCACAACATGGCGGCCGCCGCCCGCCCCCCCCCGCGCTGTCAGTCACTCCCGCCGCCCAATCAGCGAGCGGCCGCGGCCGGGCGCAGCCAATGGGCGCGGGGCGGGGGCGGGCCATGGCGGAGCTGAGCGGCGGCAGCGAGCCCGTGGCGGTGCCGCTGTGGCCGCCCGGGGAGAGCCCGCCGGGCTTCCAGGTACCGACCGGGGCACGGCGGGGAGGGCGACAGGGACACCCTCCGCACACCGGGGGGGCTCCAGCCCGGCCTGGAGCAGTGCCGGGGATGGGGCAGCCACAGCTTCTCTGGGCAACCCCTGCCAGGGCCTCACCGCCCTCACAGCCAACAATTCCTTCCTAATATCTCACCTAACCCTCGCTCGGAGGGGCCTTGCCAGCGCAATATATGACAGGCCAGGGACTATTAAACTTAGTTGTGAGTAAAGCCAAGCGAGCGAGAAGCTGATGTTTATGGGAAAAAAAAAAGAAACTTGGGGAAATCACCGCCATGTTTCACAACACCCAGAACACAGCCTGCTGTGAAATGTAATATTTAGCGATAGCACGTCCCCCAGCCTGCTAAATAAAGCTTTGCATGCCGAATGCTGAGAAGGAAATAAGAATACACACGTAGCTGTCGTTATATCTTGGCTTTCAAATTTAGCGAAGTCTGTCAGCTTTTATTTCACAGCACTCCGTGGTTCTATAACCACTCACCTGCTGGGGGCATTGGTGTCTGCAGAACCTGGTTTTCTGGCGGAATTAAGAGGAAATTTGAATGTAACAATTTGAAGAGATAAATTGGAAGCATCTTCCTTTTTAACATAAATGGCTGTTTGAAATTCTGTGGCTAAGAATAGGTATAAACTAACCTTCCGCGTAGTCATTGTTTTGAAAGGGGAGGAAATTAATGATACTTCGATAATTCTGTAAATAATTAAATCTATAAATATTGCATATAAATATTATCTATAAATATATTTATAAATAAACACATTTGATATTTCTATACATAAAAATCATATATAGTAGACTAGATGTAATTAGCTGACATGTTTTTTCCGCTAAGCATTTTTTTCAGGCTGAGAGACTATTTTGAGAATTCAGGCACTGACAGACTATTGATTCTTTTTCAGTCCATATGGAATACGTGATTTGCAACCTTTAAAACATTTTCGAGAAGTTAAGGCTTGGAGTCGGAAGTTTACAGGGCAATGAAGTGTTGGTGGCTTCAGTTCAGAGCTCGCTCGTTGCCAGGCACAAACTCGTTCAGGGTTCTGGTCTGAAGCCCTGGCGATGCCCAGCTCTGACTGTCGCTCTCTCTGCAGTACAGCCCGGACAGCGTGGCCGGGGCAGACGGGGAGATCGACCCCACCGAGATCACCTTCCCGGGATGTTCCTGCCGGAGCAGCTCCTGCGCGGCCCCCGAGTGCTCCTGCCTGGGCCGCGGTGACAACTACAGCGGGCCGTGCCTGCGGGGGGCAGAGCAGGAGGGCTTTGCCAGGCCCGTGTTCGAGTGCAACGCCCTGTGCCAGTGCGGCGAGTCGTGCCCCAACAGGCTGGTGCAGCGGGGGCTGCGGCTGCGGCTCCAGGTGTTCCGCACCCCCAGGAAGGGCTGGGGCGTCCGCGCGCTGGAGCCCATCCCGCGGGGCACCTTCGTCTGTGAGTACGCTGGGGAGGTGCTGGGCATGGCCGAGGCACGCAGGAGAGTCCAGGCCCAGAGCCCCCAGGATTCCAACTACATCATAGCAGTGAGGGAGCACCTGCACGACGGGCGGGTCCTGCAGACCTTCGTGGACCCCACGCGCGTGGGGAACGTGGGCAGGTTCCTGAACCACTCCTGTGAGCCAAACCTGTTCATGGTGCCCGTCAGGGTGGACTCCATGGTGCCCAGGCTGGCACTGTTTGCAGCCACTGACATTCCTGCTGGAGAGGAGCTGTCCTTTGATTATTCTGGGAGGTTCCATAATTCACCGGGAAGCAGCAGAGAACACAAACCTTTGGAGGAGGATAACAGACTGAGAAAGCCCTGCTACTGTGGTTCCCCCACGTGTGCTTCCTTCTTACCTTGGGACAGCTCCCTCTTTTCCACACCAGACAGTTCTCCATAGCCTTTCAGCCTCAAGCTTACCTAGAAAATTGGATTTTCTCTAGTAGTTAAATTGCTGTTAAATAAAACTCTGTGTTCCAACAAGGAAGCCCATGTGGGTTTGAGTAGCAGCTAAAAGATAAGGCTTTGAGAATAATTTCATGCAACATCCTGAAGCCTTTTCAAGGTAGATGATACAGGGGATTATTGGAGCTTCATGATGGTCCAAAATCAGTTACTAAGCCAGGTCTAGTGTTTCTGTCTTGTTTTCCTCTGACAGATTGGTGTCTATTAAAGCAGCTCTCAGTTTGAGAGAAACCTTCTTTCAGAAAGAATTTGTACCTTTAACACTTGTACGTGGAAAGGATGTGTGATAACAGCAAGAAAAGTCACTGAAAATTACACCAGAAAATGACACCAGAGAATCCTGACATTTGCAATAAAGGCATTTGGTTTCTTAAAACTCATTATAGTTTTGAAATTACTTGCTATACATTTTTTGTTGCACAAAGCATAAATAATTATTATTGATTATAAGAGTAGCTGGAGGGCTTTGTGTCCCCCTTTCCCCCCTCCAGCCCCACGGAGCTGCATGCCAGCACTGGATTGTGAGTGACTGGCTGTTCCATTCCCATTTGGCTCCTGTGAAGTGGGGCAGGCTCCAAGGAGCAGAACATCCCATCTTTTTTAATCACATCAGCCCCGAGGCTCCTCTATCTCAGATCTCTGCAATAACAGCAAGCAGCACATCCCTGTTACTGCCCAGCTCTATCAGTACCCAGGGAGCAAATCCAGACCCTGCAGGATGAGCCTGACAATTGACTGAAAATAAAAATACAAAAGTGCATCTGCAGGCCATCAGTAGCCTTTTTTTTTTTTTTTTTAAATTTCAGACAGCTTTGATTTGGACCTGAAAAACTGGTGCCACTGAAAGACTGAGCTGCAGCTCCCTGCTCAGTGTGTGCTTTCACCAGGAGGCCAGTCCAGCAGCTCAGAACTGGGAGCTCTGTGTAATCCTTTCAAAGTGCAGGAATGATTAGCAATATTTCTATATTCATTCATCTGAAGATTTACTTTCCAACTGAAATATGATCAGATTAATCCAAGGACAGGGCTTGGAGCAACCTGGTCTAGAGGAAGGTTTCCTGCCCTGGGAAAGGGGGTTGGAACAAGATGAGCTTTAAGTTCCCTTCCCTCCCGAACCATTCTGTGTTTAACCTGATACTGCCAAGGGATAAAGGACAATTTGCTGCTATTCTTTTGCTATTTGCTAAACAAAATCTTACTTGGTGTCTGTTACCTGTGTTTCCTTGATAAACTGCAGTCTTAGCTTCTCCCCACTTCAGTGCCTTCGTGCTGCTCACAGGATTTCCACGTGGATGTGGGTTTATGTTAAGATAATCATTACCCCTAAGAGGAATCACATGATTAAGTGTCACTTCTGTCAGGACAGAAACTTTCCCAAGGATTTCAGCTGCTTGTCTCAAGCAGTTTCCCAGCTGAGTGGCCATTCCCTGACTAAGGGTTCCTGCTGCTCCAGGAGACAAGCCCTCGGATCCCACACCTCGGAATGCACCAGATACCAGAGCACAGCCTGCATTACACGGCCCCTTGTCCTATTTACAGGCTTCTCTGGTTTTCTCCCCCAAAAGGCATTGTGCCAGCCACTTTGAGAGCACGGGGCTGGGAGCAGATGATCCAATCTGCTTCCTCTTTTCCTCCTGGGAAGGGTTTCAAGATGAGTTTTACAGCACCTGCATTCCTGGTGTTGGGGCTGACGGCAAGGTTTGTTACCTTCCTGTTATGAATATGCACTTGGCACGATTCTGAGTAGTTAAGGAAGTGTAAATTAAAAAAGAAACAAACCACCTTCAGCAATATCTAGTCCTTGATCACCAGCCTTCCAGCAGAGAACACAGCTGAGCCCTGTCCCTGCAATCCTACCCCCTCAGCTGATGCAGCTGCTAGGAGTGATCTGATAGCAGTTATCTGGTTAGAACAAACTTCCATAGCACACAACAACAACAGTGTTGTACTGTTCAAAACAACCACGCTAAAGGCCTTGCAAAACCAAAATAATATGTTGTTACTGAGTTCTAAACCATCCTGGCCTTCTCCCATTATGCCTTGCCATGCCTTAGCACTGCAGCTGCCTGGGGAGGGGACCAAAATCCTCCCAAAAAAATTCCCCAACATGAAACTAGAAAAAAATTAAGACCTTATGTTGTATCTGAATTTCTGTTTGCTTTTTCCTTTGGGTTCCTTCAGCTGCACAGTCCCAGTCTGCCCCTCACAGCTCTGTGCTCTTCCACAAGGAGTCCAAGCAGCTCAAAAGCCCCTGAGCTCCCTCTAATCCTCCCTCCTCCTTCCTGCTCTCAGAGTGCAGCAATGATTATCCATATTTCAATATTGTGCCAAGCCATGGTGTGTTCTGGAATAGATTCTTCTGCTTGCTGGACTTACCTGGACACCCACTGGAGGCTGGTGCTGCTTGAAGGGTTCCCCAGAGGCTCTCCTGGGTCTTCCTTTCAACATCAAACAAGCAGAGAAGGAGCAGGGAAGTGATGGATCTGCACTGACCCCAGGTTGTGTTAAACCCAAACCCAATTTACTACAGAAAAGACAATGCTGGCAAGGACCAACATCAGTGCAAAGGTTTTTGTTAATCCACCGTTACATTCAGATCCCAAAATGAGGTGGCTTTCAATTATTCCCATTTCCTTTATTCCTTGCTAAAATTCTTTGCAGAAATTCCTCTCCTTTTCAGTGGTTTGGTTGTTTTTTTGTTTTGTTTTCGGTTGTTTGGGGGTTTGTTTGTTTTGGTTGGGTTTTTGTTTGTTTTTGTCTTTTTGTTTTGTTTTTCTTTCCCCAACAAACAGTTTCAGAATTTACCCTGTGAGGCCTTGGGGCTCACAGTTCCATCTGCCATCTTTTCACTTTCATGACTTCTGTTCAAGTGGAATCATTTGTGAGCTTCAGTTTCTAATGAGGTCAATTTTGCAATTCCCAACTCCCCAAAACAAGATTCCTGTGTCCAAGACATTCAAAGGAAATTGCTGCTTTTCCATCAATAAGAGTCCTTGGCATAAACAAATGCTTTACATTTTATTGAAACATGTACAAGATTTCTAATCATCATTGCCCTGAGGATTATCACCCCCCCAGCTGCAGAAGGCACTTCCTAAAGAGCAGCAAATCTCCCCAGAAAAGCCCATTTCTGATCAAGTTTTCACTGCACAGGAATGTAACAAAGGGCTGTGGGAGCTGCCCCTGGGGAGAGGTGTCATCTCCCAGGCCTCACTCTTGACTCCTTCATTGGCTTTTAAAGCTGCCTAGAATTTCCGAACTGCCTCAAATTTCTTTTAAAGCTGCCTAGAACTTTAAAAAGTCCTTGGTTTTTATTGCATGTAAGTGTAGAAACTCAAACTCTACATAAATAAAACTAATTAAGAAAGATCTTTGCTAAAGGAGCTGGTCTGGGTGACAAGGTGGGGATCGATCACAGGTTGGACTCTGTGGTCTTGGAGGTCTTTTCCAGCCTGTATTAAGTAGCCTTTGAAAACAGTTTTGTTCCAGTTGAACCCAAAACACTCTTGCCAAAACCAACTGCTAAGTTTGGTCAGGATTTGAGTCCAGGCCAGGTCCCCATGAACATGAAGCTTCTCCAAGCAACATTTAGTGTTGGATTTTTTCCGCCCCAGCAGGAACTTTAAGTGGTAGATTTTTCAATTCTGTGCCATCAGCAGGTGACACCGCCATCATCCCTGGTTCCCTGGGTGCAATCCAGCCGTTCCTGAGCCCATGGAACAGCCAGGAGGTCACTGTGGCTCCGGTGGGGTGTCGGAGGCGCAGCGGAAGCCCAGGTTGGACGCGGAGCTGTCGGGGGTGTTCTGGCTGCGAGCGGCACAGCGGTACCTGTAGCAGTAGGACTGCAGGGCAAGAGACAGTGAGCTTCACACCACAGCTGGGGCTTCCTCAGGCAAGGGTTTGTTGGATTAGCAGATTAATTAGTCAGATTAATACAGCAGAGCATTGCAATCACTGTGCGACAGATCCATGAGCTGATAGGGATGGAAATCGCTGCCTTGGAAAGAAGGGAATCCTACAGACCAGCTGAGACAAAACAATAGTTTGAATGGCAAAGCGCCCAATAAAATGTCAACTAATAATATATCCTGTCTGGGAAATTGCTACAACAACCATTCTGCTTCCCCTCAGAGGAGGAGAGGGCAGCTCAGTGCCCCGAGCTGTGCTCCCATGCACTGACACCTGACTGGGAATGGACAGGTACTGGCACCTCCCTAAAAACACTTCCCTGAATGAGATGCAACAAAGAGAAATGGATAACAGGAGGCAAACTCCAGTATTCCTATGGCTGGCACTCTAGGGATATTTATAATCCCCAGGATAATTCAATTATGAGCAGTGTGAGTGGTTGGCTACCTGCAGCAAGGCTGCCCAGCAGCAGCTCCCCACTGTGGCGTGGGAGGGAGGGCAGAACACTGGTAATGGCACTAACTGAGCACTGGGGCAGCACTTTGAACAATCCATCCAAATCCTGACCCATTCTTCTGTTACTTCAGAAGATCTGGCTCAGGTTTTTGCCCCTGTCCTCCCACAGAAGCCTGTGCCAAAAGCCACCACTTGGATCCAGGCTGGTGCAGCTGCTTGGGGTCAGGCCCTGAACCAGACTCAGGAATGGAATGTAAAAAGGTGCAATTTTAGCCTCTGTCAGCTCTGAGAGCGGAGAAGAGCAACAGCACAGAAAGATCAGTCTGAATAGATTGTAGGCACCTAATAAAGAGCCCTTGTACTAATAGTATTCAGTGGGTTTTTGTCTTGAAACACAGCCTAGTTTTATCACCTACAAAAAAGACTAGGGCAGAGCAGAATCTTCACAAACCTTGAAAATGGGTCACGTTATTCATCACTAAAGAGCCTATTCCAGTGTTAATTTAATCAAAACTGCTAATTAACATCTGACATTGATTTCACCTAAGAAGGAAATCAGTGTAGAAAATGGGATCTCACTGTAGAAAATTTAATCTAATTATGAGGGTGATTTGCCAGCTGCAGGCTTTGCAAGGGAAGAAGAGCAGGACAGCTTTAATGAAACAGGAGATCTACAATGAAGGTTTTTAAGCACTGCATGAACAGAGTTTAAAACATGATTCTGTGTCATGAACAGCCTTTGCTCTGGGATGACATCCAGGGTGTTCTGAAGGATTTTCAAGTGTGCCATCAACTCAGCTGGAACATTCATCTCCCAGCCAGCTTCCTGCAAGCACCTGACATCAGAGAATGATCGAATTATAGAATGGTTTGGGTTGGAAGGGACCTTAAAGCCCATCCAGTTCTACCCCCTGCCATGGGCAGGGACACCTTCCACTATCCCAGGTTGCTCCGAGCTCCATGTCCTTTCTGGATCAAGAGTCACTGTAAAACTGAAAGAACAGAGTCACATCCATACTTTCTGCTCTGACAGGGATCACTCAAGCTCTGTAAGGAGAACAGCACTAGAGGCTGCATCAGTTTTAACTTCTGCATCTAAAAACCATACTGGGTAAAACGACTTATTTGAATTGCAGGCTGACCAAAAAGAAGTCCTTGGGAAGATCAGGTGTTGCTCCTCATATATTCCATGAAACCCCTTCCCAAGCATCCAGGCTGCCAGGCAACTCTGTCAGAGGATCACTTCATGCTCAAGTGCTGTCAGAGGAAAGGGCACAGTGAAAACCCCCCGTTACCTTGTGGCACATGTAGGATCCTCCTTTCTTCACTCTGTCCGTGCCCGAGGATGGCCCTTGCTGGGGAGGGAGTGAGGACACTGGTCAGTGCTCAAGGAAGAACAACTGCTCATCACAGGGTAAACAGCTTGAGAACAGGGACATGGATAAGGATATATATTCCAAGCTAACAAATTTCAGCTGAAAGCTTGAAGCCATTCTGCTGTGCAGGACTTGCAGGGGACAGAACTGTGCTCCCTCCACTGCTGCAAATATTGAACGCTGGAGTTGCTGCCCACGAGTGCCTTGTTCTGTAAAACCCCTGACAACAAGGAGGGTCCTAAAGAGGGGATTTCACTGGAAGGAAATCACCCCCAGCTTCCCTCATTGACCACTTTGGACCAGTCTGGTTCCTACCCTGTCTCAGGGGTACAGTTGTCTCTCCTACCCTGTCTCAGAGGTACAGGTCTGCATTACCAGAGGTGAATTTCTAGAAGAATCTACACAAGAGGAGCGTTTGTAACACTGAATAAAAGCCACAGGGACTGACAGAAAACCCTGAAGGTTGATGCTGGTGCTCCAGAAGCTGCTGCCTGCACCCGCTGAGTTTGATAACTTCATATGAAAGCTCACCACACAGACTGCAGCAGCTTCATGTTTACTGCCAAAATTTACATATGTGAAAAATAAATTGGCCTGTTACCACATTTAATACCCTACAAATCCTGAAGGAAACCCACACCCCGAGGCAGCATCCGCTCGGTCCCCAGCCCAGGTGCTCCTCCTCGGGACAGCCTTGCTCCTGTTCCAACCCCTCTGGAAAGTGTCCTCACAGCTCTTGCATGTGGGTGCACAGTCCTCACTCTGAGATAGGCTACTGACAAGCACAGTCATCCCCCAGCCTGCTAAACTCATTTTAAGGGAAGCCAGGAGAAAACTGACCTAAAAAAAAAAGTGACCCCAGAAGCAGACAAAGAAGAACAATGGGGCTGTGGAGCAGGATTTCCCCTCAGCCACTGCAGTGCACAGCCTGAGCAGCAATCTGGGCTATTGGCTCCAAAGACACTGTCACAAACTAAGAGGAACATGTTTATTTGGGGTTAGAAGGTTTGTTGTCCAGCCCCAAGTCTCTCATGTTTCAGCAATTACAAAGGATAACCTGGACTGAAGCAGCCCGTGAACCAAAGGCCATGGTAAGTGCATAAGCTCTTTTTAATAGTTATAAATATCTTCTACCAGGCAAAAATTGAGCATCAAAGGTTATTTGGTAACAAAACCCAAGTTCAGTTGACCCCCTCAGCCTCTGAAGGAGGATTAAAGCACTGAAACACTTCACCACCTACAGAAATCTCATGTAGTGCCCTCCATTAATCTATTCTATTACAAAACATTATCCTCTTGATTAACAACCCTTTAAAATCAGTGAAAGTAAAGAGTTTATCAGAAAACTGGCAAAGTTCTCTGCAGAGCAGAAAACCACTCAACACCATCAGTATTTGCAAGGTTAATATTTGCTCACACACATTATCTCACAGCTGAAAGAAACTGCTTTGGTTGTGCTTTCCCACACAAACTCAGCACAGCACAGCAATTTAGGTCCCATTTGATTAAAACAAGCAAAACTCTTCTATCAAACAATATTGTTTCATGGAGAAGTCACCAGTTGGTACTGAAGGGGAGGGACATGTCCTGTCCTATGTAAAGAGTTGGAGCTGTCTGGACTTGGATTCCAGATTTAAAAATAATATATATATTAGCAAGTTTATTCTGTAGCATAATGTTCTAAGGGCCACATTCTAGTCTGACTGCATAATTAGAGGTGCTTATTTAAGTGAGACACTTTAGTGTTTATAATGTCAATGCAGCAGTGCTTTGGTGCTGGATTAAGGTGAAATTGGACAACAAGTCTTGTGTGAATTTGGCTCTGTTAAGCTTAATCACCTCTGAGTTTGCTCAGGTTTTTAAATTCAGCATAAGCACTGTGCAGACACTTCAGAGAGTATTTAAAAACTAGGTGTTAACAATGATGCTTTCAGGGTTTTTTTCAGATGCAAAGTAATTGTCAAAATCGAGTCTCTGAGGCAGAGCACTTCAAAGTGAATTCCAAAGGGTTTTCTGACTAAATAGGTAAGAAAACTGAATCTCCTGCTGTGAAAAGGTGTCCCAAAATAGCCAGGCTGCAGAATCTTCTGAGACATCCGAACTGATTAGCACCAGATCTATCAGAGCCCATCCCTTCAGTCTCTGCAGAGCACAAGGCAGTGGAACCTAAATATAGGATGTGTTCTCTCCACTGAAAAGACTCAGAGTTCTTCCAGAGGGTCAGAGCTTAGGCAAAGTTCTTTAACATATTTAGTTTAACACCCAAAATCTTCAAAGTTGCTTTCTAGTACTGGAGAGATTCGGGGTTCAGGGGGGATTGGTCACAAGGAACAGATGGAATTCTGCACACACAGTCCCAAAGGAAAAGGAGGCTCTTCAGCCACTAGGACTGATGACCAGCAGCAATTAGAGACTAGTCCTTCCTGGTTTAAACCAAATTTAAACCAAAGCTCAGCCTGAAGGGCCCTCTCTGTGCCTCCCACAAAGGAAATCAAAGACTCCCTACTCAGAGCCTGGGAAGCAGCTTCTCCCCACAAACCTCAGCCATGAAGATAACTCATGGTTTGTTCTCTACCTGGAGAGGGTAGAAGTAGTACAACTGGTAGCAATATAAATGAACTAAACCCCTTCCCTTTTTTAAAGAAGTAATTCCATAAATTTCTGATTTATGGAATGTCATGCCAGTTTGGACATTTCAACAGCTGATCAGATGTGGGCAAACAACAAAGAATTCCCCAAAGAAACAAAAACATTGCACTAGAGCACTGTAAATCCAGGGTTGGTGAGCTGTGGTGACACTTCCCAATTCCCCAGAGCACAGCCCAGCCCAGCCACAGCAGAGGAACAAAGAACAGGTCTGCAAACCAGAGTCCCCCGAGGGAATTCTGCACTTCCCAGGATGCCAATGAAACACTTACAGGGTTGTGGAGTTCCTGTGAGGAGTGCTGGACAGCCCACCAGTCAGATGTCCACTCCCAGGCATTGCCCACCATGTTGTACAGCCCAAATCCATTGGGAGGGAAGGCAGTGACCTGCACAGGACAGGGAGCACAGGGGCAGTTCTGGAACCACTCCACATGGAATAAGGGTTTTAATCCTCACACCTGGCTGCTGAAGGTGCATTTTGAGGGGCTCCTGCCTCAAAAGCAGGCATCAAATCAGTAGTGCAGGACTATAAACACATGTACATATTCCATTTAAATAACACAGAAGGGAATTCCCACCCTCTGTGTCCTCAGCACCGCTGTTCCTCTGGGACACACAGCATCTCCTGGGGGTTCTGCACACTGACCCTCTCAAGGGAAGCACTGTTTGACCCAGCACACAGACCCAGGCATGGCATCAGTGACCTGACCCCCACTTCCAGCTTCCAGACTCCCCTTCCCACCAAGGAAAAGTGGAGTGGCTGCCAACTCATCCTCCTCATCAGCAGACTTCTATGCTGATGAAACTTTTGGACTTATTTAACTGCCATTAAATAATTCATTCACATTCTTGATTGCCTTTAAAATTCCACTCTGTTTGTCACACTGGACAACCTAAACCTCTCCCAAAAAGGGAAGTTGAATTTCTTTCAAACTACTGTGTGATTTTTGAGTTCACAAAACTGTAATGCCAAAAGTTCAGGCAGAAAGTATTTCAGCTTCTGCCTACAAACTGAGTGGAAAGGGGGAAAAGAGGTCAGTTTGAGAGGAACTAGAAGTTAAAATGAAAGTGATCTTTACTTTTCAATTAGCCTGTGAAAGTGTCCCTTGGTGATGCTCGAGCCTGCAGTGAAATACAGAGTAACTTGAAGTCTGAAGTGAAAGAGTGCAGGGATGGAACAGCCACGGTGCTGTGGAACACAGAGCTTCATTTGGGGAAGATTGAGTTCATTTGCATGTGCTGAGCTGTCTGTGAGACACTTACAGGTGCAGTCCCCTTGTACCCATCCTCTGCAGTGTTGTTGGTTGGGAACTCCCCCTGCCAGATGTTGGTGTAGTGCTGACCTTTGGGCTGCAGTTTGTTACCCCATGGGAACAGCCTGGGAAGGACAGAACAGCTGTCAGACACTCTGAACTACAACTCAGTGTTACACAGAATCCCAGACTGGTTTGGGTTGGAAGGGACCTTAAAGCCCATCCAGTTCCACCCCTGCCATGGGGAGGGACACCTTCCACTAGCCCAGGTTGCTCCAACCTGGCCTTGGACACGTCCAGGGATCCAGGGGCAGCCACAGCTTCTCTGGGCAACCTGTGCCAGGGCCTCCCCACCCTCACTGGGAGGAATTCCTTCCCAATATCCCATCTAACCATGCCCTCTGGCAGTGGGAAGCCATTCCCTGTGTCCTGTCCCTCCATCCCTTGTCCCCAGTCCCTCTCCAGCTCTCCTGGAGCCCCTTTAGGCCCTGCAAGGGGCTCTCAGCTCTCCTTGGAGCCTTCTCTTCTCCAGGTGAACCCCCCCAGCTCTCCTAGCCTGGCTCCAGAGCAGAGGGGCTCCAGCCCTGGGAGCACCTCTGAGGCCTCCTCTGGACTCCCTGTGCTGGGACCCAGAGCTGGAGGCAGCACTGCAGGGGGGTCTCACCTGAACAGAGGAGCAGAATCCCCCCTCTCCTGCTGCCCTCGCTGTGGGACCAGCACATGGGGGGTTTTGGACTGTGACTGCACTTTGCTGAGTCCTGCTGAGCTTCTTATCCACAAACCCACAAACTCCTTCTCCCCAGGGCTGCTCTCAGTCCCTCCTCCACCCAAACCTTACTCGGGACTGGGATGTTTCTCACAGCTGTGCACCACTGCACAAGAAGGAGACACTGAGGGTAACAAAACCCCACAGAACTCTTCCTGCTGCAGTAAATCCCAGTTGCAGACCCGGCTCAGGGACACACTGTCACAGGTACCTGTTCTCCAGGCCCCCTCGGCAGCTGTACTCCCACTCCGCCTCCGTCGGTAACCGCTTCCCTGCCCACCTGCAGAAAGCCACAGCATCGTTCCAGGACACGTGGAGAACTGGGTGATCCATCCTGGGAGACAAAAGGAACAGGACAGGCTCCTCAGGAGAGCTGGGCAGTCAGAGCTGCACAGCAGAGCACGGTGTGACACTCACGGTGGGCACACAGGGGTGACAAGGGCACAGCTCAGGGACAGCTGGACGAGGCCCCAGAGGACTTTGACAGGGAAGGGGCTATTTAAGGGGAGGCAGCAAGACAGAGGAAAATGAGGAAGAGAAAATAACGAACTTCTGTTTGTCTCATCAGGCTCTGCAGTTAAAGACATCTGTGGTTTGTGCCTTCTCATGGTCCCACCTCAGGAGCCAGCAGAGAACCATCCACACCCTGTGCCTGTGGAGTGGGGGTGCTCAGAGACCCAAAGGAAGGCACCCAAAGCCTGCAGCCCACTCCTGTTAAACCAGCCTGGCGAGGAGCAGCTGAACCAGGAGCCAAGATTCCCAACAGGAAAATGTGCACTGCAATGCAGTGGTGGTTGCTCTTCACTCCTCTGTCTCTCTCTGCTGGGGGTTCTTTCCTTGCTGGGTTTTGAGGGAGATGTGACATGAGGAAGAGTCCCCACTCTTAGCAGCATTAGCTTTTGCAGCACCCAGTCCAAGAAAGAGGCTGCAGAAATTTATCCCAGAAGTGATTTTCTTTGGGTGCTTCAAGTAGTCCACAGTTTACACAAAAGCTCCCATCTTTCCTGGGGTTTGGTTCCAGGACTGACCTTAAAATCCTGGTCTCTTTTTCCAGAAAAAGACAGGAGAAATGCCTAGGCATTTTTGCAGAAGGACTCTCCCCATCCAAGCCTCCAATAGCCCAAGACACTTCCAGAACTGAGGGTACTGGTCCAGGAGACAGAGGACTTGCTGTTAACTTCTCTTCCCTGCCCCATTTAAGAAGCCAGAGTATCCCTGTTAATCCATGAGGCCACTTCCATGTGCAAGTTCACCAGGGGCTGTGCCAGGCCAGCATTGCACCACACTTGCCCAAGACTAGATTTCCATGGCAGGTTTCCAGCTCCTGTCTGCTGGCTCTGACCTCAATTCCTGGCTCCCCCTAACAATGCCTCCAGCTATTATCTCTATTTTTGCCTCAGATAATTCTTTCCCTGCCCTTGGAGATCAGACACCGGACTCGTTACTGAGCAGTTCAGCCATCAGATGATGGTGCACTAACACAGCCCTGTCCTTAGAGGACTCAGAAACACGCCAGATCTAGGCTAGAGAGTCTGATTTCATTTCAAAACTGCTGTTAGAAACTTTAACTAGTTGATGAAGTTCCAGCTTCATTGACACCTGCCTAGTGAGAGGAGCAGTTGCAATGTCAGAGGTCCCGAATGAAGACAGTAATTTCGTTTTCTAGGCCTAAAATTCATTCCAGTTCAGAATGGAAAGTGATGCCCAGAGACACGGAGCAGCAAGTCCCAGGGTTCATGCAGGCAAAGCGTGGCCCTGACTGTAAGAGCACTAACTGCTAAGGAAAAGTACAGCCTTCCAAAGCATTTAGAGGCTCTGGATAAAGTCACAATTGATTTTCCACAACAATTAGCCCATTAAGTCAGAGTATAGTAAAAAGCACAAAACTCTTCAGTCTTCTGCTGCCACGAAGAGGCTCCAAATCCCACATGGAAGAGGACACCCACATGGACTCCTGGAGTGTGCATGCAGCCAGCAGTTATTCTTCCTCTCCAACACCACATCTGCACTGAAGGTTCTGACCTCTAAGGATCTGCTCTTTCACTGCTGATACACAAATTTTCCCTTGGGTGTGAACTCCTTATAGACCTTCTTGAAATCCTACTACATCACTGCCCAAATGACCCTGGAATATTGCCTAGAAAATGGGAAAAGAGTCCCAGGAGCAGCAGCAAACTGATAACTAAATAAAACCCCTCTCTTGCACCCCCATTCCTGGTGGGAGTTCCAGGTGTCTCTGCAAGCACTGAATGGCTGTTCTGGGCTTACCTGCTGGAGATACTGGAGTCAGGACCCTCAGGATGCTTCCAGTTGGCTCCTTTCACAGGCAACCACCAGGGAGCAGCTGCAACCTGAAAAGGGACAAGAATGGATAGGGAAGGAGACTTAAATTCCCAGCTAAAGGATATTCTGGAGAAGCAGCAGGGGCTCAGAGCTTTCAGTGACAGCTCCTGGCTCTGCCTGCAGCCAAGTGACCTGTGAGTTCCAAATCACACAATGGTTTGTGTTTGGAAGGAACCTTAAAGATCACCTCATTACAACACCTTCCTCCAACACTCACATCATCTCTGAGAGACCAAGATGATCATTTGATGCACTTTAAATCACTGCTGGCCAAGGAATGCCCAAGGTATGGAACAGCACTAAGAAATCACCCAAAAACAAGCAAGAGGGAGACCAAATGCTGACTGTGCTTCCCTGAATCACTGCCCTCTGCCTGCCTCTCCTTCCCTCCTGAATTTGCTCACCTGCAGGTCTGAGACAAGGCACATTTGCTCTCTCTGGAGGTACAGCCCTCAGCACATCACCTGTGGTGGACCAGAGTCCTCTCAAATTCTCAATTCTTGACCCTTGAAAACACGCCCAGAAGCCCTGGGGTGGTTGGGAGAGCTCAGCTGAACACTTGGCTCAGATCTCTCACAACAACAACACAGTGTCAAACCAGCCATGGGGAGAGGGGGTGGCTGCCCCATCCCTGGGAGTGTCCAAGGCCAGGTTGGACGGGGCTTGGAGCAATCTGGGCTAGTGGAAGGTGTCCCTGCCCATGGCAGGGGGTGGGACTGGATGGTTTTAAGGTCCCTCCCAACCCAAACCAGTCTGGACTGTGTGATTCAAATCTCCTGGCTGACTTAGGTCTGACACATTCCACAGAGACCATTAAAAAAAAATGACAACTCTGGCTTGAAGAGCATTTTCATCCCAGTTATTTGCTGCCTGAACTCAGTGCTTTGGCACAGCTGAACCAACCCCCTGACAATGCCCTTTAACCAGGGTCAGAACTCGCAGCTTGGGACACATTTGCTTTCCAGGTCATTAACCCAGTAAAGCTGATTTGAAATTATTTGCTCTCAGCTTCCAGAGGGTGGAGACAGAAGAACCACACAAGGGAAGTGAAGCATGAAGCCTCTTTTCTGTTTTCATCACTCTGTAACAATGCAGGACTTCTCTCTAACCAGAAGTCCCAAATATGGTTCTTCAACAGCAAGGAGTTTTTCCTGGAAGACATTCCTTAAGGATTTCTTCTATTAAGCTTACTTCAAAGCAGAGAAGTGCTTAACTGTTCTGCTTCCCATTCACTTAGAAATACTTATCTTAATAATGGGGCCTTTCACTGAGGCAAAAAAAGAACACTTATGCTGCCCATCAACGGTGGTTTATTCCAGCAGCAGAAGTGCTCACTTCCAAAATACTCCTATGGCAAAGATAAAGTCTATAAAGAACAAAAATCAAAGGAAATAAGCCTGGATTGCTTCAGGAGTTAAACAACCCAGCAGCTTAGTCCTAGAGTTGAGATCCACTGTTCCTCTAACAGTGGCTCTACAACAGCCTCCAGCACCTTCTGCCCTCTCTGCTGCCCCTCAGCCTCCCCTGCTCAGACATGGCCAAGGGAGCACTAAAATATTCATTTCTCCTCATTGTGCTGCTAAACCAACTTTGTCAAGTGTCACTCACACGGGTTGGAATTGTGCCAGGAGTGTTATCCTTGAACTCCTCAAATCCTTCACGGAAAAGTCCAAAAAGGCACTGCAAGCTGAGGAGTCACCCAGGAGACCCAGAGTCAGTCGGGTCACACAGTTTTAACAGCAACTTCCAAGGGGAAGAACCTGCATCCTTCAACAGTGAAGGGCACTTAATGTGTGAGAGAGAAAAATGTCTATGACACACATAAATTGTTAGGAAAACTCTGATCCAAATTAAACATCAAATGCCTCATTTGAATGTTTCAGTGGGAGAACAAACAGAAGTGCCCAAGCAATAGAGGTGCTGCCAATGCACAAACACAGACTATTCTGTTTTTAAAGCATCTGATCAGCCTGTGCTGTAACAGCTCCTCCACAGTTTCCCTCCTCTCCCCTCAGCACACAGGATTGTGCCTGCAGCACATCTGGGTATGGAAAAACTCCCTGTAAATCACTCCTCCTGAAGGAGTGAAGAGGAGACATCAGTGTTAAGTACCACAGAAATAAAGATCTCTCAGCTTGCTGATGACCCAGATGGTCTGTCCATGTGCTCAGCGGGACCCTCCAGGCAAACAACCAAAGTAATGCCAGTTTTTAAAGACCCTTTCTGACTTCCCCAACATGACAAGCACTTAAATTAACAACATCAGGCACAATTCTGGCTGGTTCCCACCATGAGCAGAGCCCCTACCCTTTGCAAAGAGCATGAGAAATATTTGGTCTCTTACTATGAACTACAGCTCTGTTACTGAGCATTCAAACCCCAAAACTGAGACCTTCATTCAGCTGCTCTGCTCCACTCTCCCAGCACTAAACCTGGCTGCTAAACTGACATTACAGCCAACACGTTTAAAACCACTCTGATTTAACCAATTCCTTGCCTATTTTGAGGTCTGACCTTTAAACTACACTCAAGATAGGACAGAAATCCAAAATTAGCATTTTAAAGCTCCTTAAGGAAAGTAAAAGAGCAGCAGAACATTTGCTAAAGATAAAATCTGAAAGATCACGAGTTAGATTTCATCCCGATAGTTTCTAAGCACAACACATTTTTGCAAATTAAACTGCTGGCTTTTGGATAAAAACATCTCTGCAGGAGACTGCAAAGATTTACACTCGAGAAGACTCGAATTTTGGAAAACATTTTTGTGATGCAAAAGCAAAAGCAGATGCTTTCAATCAGAGTGGTTTATTTTAAACCGAGGAAAACGTCGCGTCTCCACATGAGAGCACTGTGTGTGCACAGCTCCTGGGGCTGCTGAACTGAGCTCCAAATGGCTGCCAGGCTCTGCAGAACACCCACATCCTCCAGGAGTTACACAGCCAGGACCAGGACAGGGATAACCTCCAGAAATTAATTGGAAACTTCTACTAGTCAGCCCCTGGCCCCAGCGAACACCCACCGAGCTGCTCCTTCCAGAAGTTGGGTACCTGAAACTACAGTCCTTTCACAAAACTTCTCACAAGTCTTTAAAGCTTTTAATTGCTCTAAATCTAATTAGTAGAGGAGGTAATTAGGCAGAGATATTACAACATCACAGTTAATACAGCAAAGCCCTCCCTTGCCACTAATGAGCTTAGTTACTTCCATAACCCTCCGCGTTCTCCTGCTTCCCTCCAAAACACGTTCTGTGCCCTGGCAGCAGATTCCTCCTGGCAAAACAGCAGCAGAGATCCCGAATTAGAGGGCAATTCCCTTCATTCTGGTTATCTCTTACAGCCTGGCATCTGTCCCTGCAGTCCTGACACAACTGCTCCTACACAGGGAGTGTTTCCAGGAGCAAAGCCCAGTGCAGAGGCACAAAAAGGCTTCGTCTGGTCTGATCCAGGGGAAAACGTGGATTATCCACCTCCCTGCCCCAGGATTAAACTTTCAGAACTCACTGTTCTGCTTATCACAGACTGTGAAAAGAGAGCCCAGGGATAACACTGGGAAGATCTGCAGATAATTCCGACCCACGAGCTCTGCAATTTGCAGAGCTGAAGCCTCTCCTCCCACCAGCAACCTGCATAAAATCCAAAGTTCTAAGTATTCCATTTTCTTTTCCAAGTAGGCTGGGATAGCCTAACTTTAATTGCTCCATTAACTTGTGATTTCAAGATTTTTTAAACTGCTTTACAATTGTCTTGAGGAAAATTCCTTCCTAAATATGTGCAGAAAAGAAACGAAAGGGGGGAACGTGACAAAGGGAGTGTCATCATCAGTATTATCCCCTTACTGGTACTGCAGGGGGGAATATCCTTAAAAAAACACCCAACTCCCACCAATAACCATAAAAACAAGTATTAGTCTTGTACTAACACGGCACTGGCCACGTTTGAGAAAAACAACCCCCACTTGAGCTCTAAATCTCCAATTCCAATCAGATTCACGTATTAGAAAAACTACCAAAAATAAACTCAACCAAGTAGCTCCATCTTGGCTCCAACTCCAGCATTTCTAACATGCAGCAAGTCCCTTGAAATAACAAAGCTGTACATTTTAACCTCAAGTCAGGCCCACGAGATGATGACAAATTCCTGCTGTTGTCCAGGCATGTAGGACCAAACATCATTTATTTTGTGCTTCAGCATTTTAATGCCATTTGGATGTAATGAGGCCTCACACTGGGTCAAGATAAACAGCTGGAAGAAGCAAAAGTTACTGCAGAGTAAGAACTTCAGCAATTTCAGAATCAACTGTCTGAAAAAGAGATTTTGAGTGAAAAGCAGCCCAAGGTTGGAAGAGACTTTAAGACTCATTTATTAAGCAGTGGGTTCTCAAAGAAACACACCCTTCAGTTCAGAAGTTACCACATCTCTTTGACTCAGATGCTGTTAAGCCCTGCACATCTTTAAATTCCAGAAGCATCTTGCTGTCATTGGTAGGATGTGAGAAAAAATTAGTTATTCAGTAAAGAACATAACTTTTGGATGAGGTTTTATTTTATCCATGTAAGGCACATAAATCTCTGTCAGTTTTTCCTCCTCTAAGTCAGATCCTAAACCCTGAGCAGCTGATTAATGAAGTACTGAAGGAAGAAGCTGACAGAAAATAGAACATTTTTACTTGGGCAGGGAGTTTAAGAAATAAAAATATTGTGCAGTGGGTGAGCCACTGTCACTGTCCCCTCAGAAACCACAGCAGGTGGTCATGAGTAGAATCCCAAAGTGGTCTGGGTTGGAAGGGACCTTAAGGATCATCTTGTTCAAGCCCCTGCCACGGGCAGGGACACCTTCCACTAGCCCAGGTTGCTCCAAGCCCCATCCAACCTGACCTTGGACACTTCCAGGGATGGAAGTCCAGCTGCTCTGGACAAGTAATTTTACATCTATTTTCTAAGTAGCATTAATGGGCCTTCCCAACAACCTCAAAACTTCTTCCCTCACCAACATTCAGGGCAGAGATGTCTCTGCACCCTCCACAGATCCCTCTGGTACCTCTTTCCCTGTGGCCCAGGTGACCCACTCCTGTCTGCAGAGCAGGGCTGTGGGATGAACAGCTCAGCCCAGCTCTGGGATTCAGCAGCCCCAGAGAGCAGCAGCTCTGCTGGTCAGCTGGCAGGTTCCCAGCAGGATTTTGGTGGCTGTGGTCCCTACTCGGGGTCAGGGAGGGCACAGCCCCTGCTCTGATCCAGCCTCCCAGGCACCTCTGGACACTTCACACCACGAGGGGCAGCTGGACACGAGCCAGAGCCATGGAATGGTTCCACTGGGTTTTCAAGGAAAGCCCCTGGGGCAGACTCAGGCTCCTGGTCCTCCTCCCCAGGCTGCAGCTCTGCTCCTCCTTCCCCAGCGCCCTGTGAAGGCAGGAACACGCCCTGTCCCATGGAGCAGCTCATCCCTGTCCCATGGAGCAGCTCATCCCTGTCCCATGGAGCAGCTCATCCCTGCAGCACCAGGCTGTGTTAGGCTGGCCCAGCTGAGCCAGCCCTGCAGTGTGAGTGGCCTGGCAGGGCCAGCTCCGAGCTCTGGGAGCAGCAGATCCTTCCCAGCCCCTCCCCAGGCTGTCCCAGCTGCACCAGGATGCAGCTCCAGTTCCTATTTGTACTCCCAGAGACTCTGCAGAGAACAAACCTCTGTAATCATGGACATAAACCCAACAGGACTGGGAATTCCTGTATGGAATCAGTCAGTCCACCCCCCCAAACAGGCCTCAATTAGACAGCAGAGTATTTTTCCAGGAGGTGACTCCCACCTGCACTAGGGCTGGACTGGATGATCTCCAGAGGTCCCTCCCAACCCCAACCAGCCTGGGATTCAGGGAATACCTCATTTTCCCAGCTGCTGCAATTCCCATGCTATTTATTCTATCAATTAAAAGTCCCAGCTCCCCCAAAGCTCTAATTACAGAAGAATCTGTTCTCACTCTTATTTTCTAAGGTTACTGGCCTCCCTCATCCCCTCAGAAACAAAAGCAACAAAGGGTTTTGTTTCATATTGAATTTGGTATTATCTGCCTTAAATCCCAGAATTTTAAAGTAGTTTGAAATTGCATGCAAAGAGAGGCAACAGCTTTACAAACTAAAAAATAAATACATTTTAAGTCATCAGCTACAGAAAAAATTTCAGACTTAATTGGAAAGTAGCACTTTACTTATATGAAGAGATCTTTTCCTTTGCATAGGGAGAGGTCATTGAACCTCAATTCAGACCCTGTAAAGCTTCACAGCTCTGTCCATCCTCCAAGAAAAATAACCAAAAATATGCGATGCTAAAATCCAGCAAGATTCATTAAGTGCAATTTTTGGACTCCCAAGCAGCTCCTTTTGAGGAACTGATATTCCTGGTGAAGGCAGACACGGCTGGAAGTCTGCTTTTCAGCCAGCATCCAAACCTGCCCTCCAGCTGCTCATTCCTTCCAAACCCGAGGGAACAGGAGCTTTCAGACAACGAGGTGAGCAAGGATTTATTTATCCCCAGCCTGAGGCACAAGCCCTGCCCTGCTTTAGAGCTGAGCTTTATTCCCAACAGTGGGAGTAAGAAAACAGAGATTAACAATTCCACAGCTCCATCCTCCCAGCTCCCTGTAGGGAACATCTGAAGCAGGGGGAGCTGCAAGGAATGGCTCCCCCTGCCCACACTGGCACTGCCCTACCTGCAAACAGCACTTCTTTCACCAGTAATTAGAATTTCTCAGCTGAAATGCAGAATGTTCCAGTTTGTTTGCAGAGTGGGACTGTCCTCGGAGTTCCAGGCACTGCTATAAATACTGCACAGCTCAAGGACAGTGCAGAGATTTCCATGTAAACAGGGATGAAATACCATCCCATGGTTCCAGACTGATCAGAACTCCTTAACAGTGTTTGCCTGAGCTGCCAGTGAACAATTCCCTTGCATTCCAGACCCACTGCCCTTGTAGTAAACAATTTTTTCCTAAAATCTAATCTAAACCTCCCCTCCTTCAGTTTAAGGCCATTTCTCCCTCGTCCTGTCCCTCCATCCCTTGTCCCCAGTTCCTCTCCAGCTTTCTTGGAGCCCTTTTAGGCCCTGAAAGGGGCTCTCAGGTCTCCCTGGAGCCTTTTCTTCTCCAGGCTGAATGTGAAGGATTTAAGCTGTGAAGCTCTGAAAACTTGTTAAACCCACACAAAACATTTTGGCTTTGAAGGACCTTCACCCTACAACCCCCTTTTTATTTAAACCAGCCCCTGCCAGCTCCATCAGTAACACCCTCATCTGCTGCAGTGCTGAATTCTCCCTCTCTGCCACGTTTCCAGCACAAAAAAAGGGGCCAAAACTAAGACTTGAGTTCCCAGAAAGCCACAACAATTCCATCATTGGCTGCTACACCCCTTTTTACTGCTTCCCTTCCAGAGGAGGGTTAGGCCAGCCCACATTCCTGTCAGAGACTATCTGGGAGCCCACCTCAGCTCCAGGAAAGGCACACCCACAGCTCCAACAATCCTCCTACGTGCTGAGCTGGGCTGCTCCTGCCCAGCTTTCCCAGCCCCACCTCTCCAATTCAGCCGTCTCGGGGCTCTGTGATAAATTTGTCTGGTTTAAGAACTGCAGGAGACAAAGGGGCCAAACAGAGCAAAACCCCAACAGACACACGTGGCTCATTATTTGTAGGAGCTTTATAAATTATTTAGTTCTGTATCTTCACTTCCACCTTCACCCAACTCTTTCACTGCTTATGAAACACTGCTTCCAAAACCCACATTCCCTTTGCTCTTCCCCTCTATTCACATTTGCAGTTTGCATCCCTGTGCTCCAGCTGGAGAAAATCCTCACCAGAACACTTCTGAGCCCACTGAGGCACAGCAGGAACACAAACCTTCCTCCCTTCAGCCTGGTGGAGGATTTTCAGTGTTGCTGTTACTGCACACCAACATTTAGATCTTATTTCTCCTTTTCATGGTGATAATTGTGATTTAAACAGTTCAGTTCTAACTACTACAGAAAACCTTCCCAAAGCAGCAGCAATAAAGACCCGTTTGGGCTCCTTTCCAGCCCTCTGGCACAACCCTTGTCCTGTGAGCACTGCAGCCAACACTTGGAAATTTGGCTGACACACCCAGGAAAGTGGCTCCCAACACTCTGTGTTTACACAAATAGCCAAGGCTAAGCTTACACAAACATTCCTGAGGTGTGTTTGTTTGTTTTAAGACAAGAGAGCCTAATTTAGGGATTTCTGCAGCACACAGGAAAAAGAATTTCTCCATCAGTGTAGGAGATGATGTGAAGATGGGAGGAGCCAATCTGAATTTATTCTACCTTCAGCATCAGTTACTCCAGGATTGGGAACTCCAGTTTACTCTTCTTATCTCTGCAGTACACAAATGTTAGTCCTGAATTAAAAGATTACAAGTGCAATTTGTTATCTCCCTTTCCTTGCAGGAGGAACCCAAACCCCACATTTCTGCCAAACCCAAACTGTTTCCATCAGAGTTGAGGATAATTCCGATGGGAAGAGACCTCAGGAGGTCGTTTTATCCAAACTTGTGCTCAAAGCACATCAGTTCACCCAGGAGGTGACAAGATAACCTGCTTAATTACCAGGAGCTGTAGAGGTGTTCAGGAGGAGGTAAATGAGGGCTGAGAAAGGCTCAGCAGCACACTCACAACAGAAAGCGAGGAAAGGGAGGGCAGGGAAGATTTACTCTGGGACTTTCTTTTATTTAAAACCAATATTCTCTTCCATTTAACAAGAAAAGTGGGTCAGCTGCAGTGAAAGCAGCACTGCCCCACCAGGACCATGGTGCTGCCCCAGTGGGATGAGGGGAGCTGAAAAAGCAGGGAATGCTCACGGGATCTGCTACAGAGGTGGAGGGAACACCATAAAATACAGCCATGCACAACATAAGGTGTGTTACAGACTCAGGCCTGGCACAGGAGTGGCATTTCTTTGGAATATTTGCCTGTAGTTAACACAGAAAAAGCACTTGTGCAAGAGGGGTCATCAGACCAGAGACACAGATCAGCCTCATTTTCCCAAATCTGTGGGATCTGGGATTTACCCACTTGGTTTGGACTCAGAGGGCACTGGCTCAGTGTGCCAGTCACATGCTCTGGAGCCAGAGGGATTCCTGTTCTTGCCTGCACAGCCACTCCTGAGGCATCACATCACACACAGAGCACCAGCCTGGGACCTGCCCCACTGAGCACAGCCCTAAACCTCTCACCTGGGGGGCACAGAGAGACAAGAAGGGGTTCACACCAACTTCTGCTAATCAAAAGTAGGTATTTTAATTGTTTGTTAAACAAAAAAAAAAGGACAGATTAGACTGTAACTCCTCCCCCTTCAGCCTGTGATTCCAGGCCAAACACCCTCCATAACCCCTTTTCTGACCCTGGCTTTGGGGACACCACACAGTTGAGACATCACTGGGTAATTCCTAACACACCCAGCCCAGGGATGGCTCAGGAAGTTTCCCCTGCTGTGTTACTCACTGCTTGGTGGATGTCAGCCTTCACTGCTTCACTCAGCATTCCCTCAAACACAAAGGAGTCTCCAAATTTCTCTGCCTGTGGAAAGAACAAAGGATTCAGCCACTATGTCAACAAAGGAAGGTTATTCTTAAAACCCCACTCACATTTACAGCTCTGTTTATCAAGAACAAGGACATTCTAATAGTGATTTTAAGTTCTCTTTCAAGGAAGCTCTTTTGGAACAGAAGAGAAGGGATTTTAGGCCTGGATGTTGTTGTTCAGCAGCCACTGGGCAGATGGCAGCTCACAGAGCTTCTGCACATGTATTTCCTTTTGTTAATTAAAAATGCAGTTCCAATTATCCCAACTGCTTTCAAATGCTACAGTCAGTAATATAATGTTCAATTCATATTTCATTTCTCTTATTTTTCCATTGGGAATCCCAATAAAAGACAAGCCTTGTCAGTTATTGCTGCTTCATCAATGTTTTTAAGTGCTGCTACAGCAATAGAAGAGTTAAAAGTAACTCAGTCATTATATCCAGCATCATATAAAGCCAAAAGAATGAAAAACACCAGTAACTTAAATGAATCACAATAACTGATACCAAAAAACTCTGAGTGAATTGATACACCTGACAAGTAAAACACGTTACTAGAATTGAACAGATTTGCCCTTCTCAGTTTCTTCATCTTATTTGAGGTGTTTAAAGAATGAGAATGATCCTCATGAGCTGTTTCTGCACACCCAGAACTCTTCAAGAAGCACAGTTTGAAAGATCACCCAAATTACAAGAAATTTTAGCACATGACCATAATCTTTTCTCTCTTCAGTTCTACCTGCCAGAGCTCAAGGGGTGCTTGGACAACACTCTCAGGGACAGGGTGGGATTGTTGAGGTGTCTGTGCAGGGCCAGGAGTTGGTTTGATGATCTTTGTGGGTCCTTCCAGTTCAGGATATTCTGTGATTCCACATTTAAACACCACCCCCCACGTGCTCATCCCAGTTTGCAAAAAGCAAACCCTGTTCCAAAGAGTTAAGCAACCTTTGTTCATAATAATCGAGCTAAGAAACAGAAATAGAGACAAAAGAAGCCCTTCATCCAACCAGAAGGATCCTGCCTTCCAAATGAGAACCAGTTTATCAAGTGAAGTCACAAAGTGCCTCCTCTGAGACCTGATCATTAGCGAGGCTTTATTTGCCTAAAAGGGCTGTCAGGGTTTGCTCCAGGTTGCTTAGGAACAGTCACTGTCAGGAGGGATCAGAGCTCCAGGCACAGGTGGCTTCTTTCTGGGAAGAACCTTAACGTATTCCTAGTCCCTTGTTCCCAGGAACATGCACAAAACTGTCATTACACTTGCTGCTCTCTCCTCCTCAGGCACGGGGCTCTCTGCTCTCAGCTGCACTGAACCACCCTGCAGGGTCCTTGGCCATCACAGGTTGTTAAATCTCTCCTCCCTGACCCTCTAAAATGAGGAAAATCTAACCCAGTTGTACTGGTACAAACAGAGGTCAAAAAAACCCAATCAAACCAACCCCAAAAAACCTGCAGAGACCTGTTGGCATCAGCCAGGCTGCAGGAAAGGCATGAATTCAGGAGTCAAGACACTTATAAAAGATAACAACATACACCAGGGCAGCAAGGCAAGAAAAGTCCTTGCCTCCACTGCTTACACCAGGAATGTTTGAGTACACAAATCCCAAGCATTATTGTGACATCCTTCAAAGGAAAACCTTGATTTTTTTTTTAATGAGGATTTTCTGAGCACAAAGCAGATGATGGCAGGAGCCTGGAGCCCCCCGTGCCTCACCTCAGTGACGTGGCCAGTGGAGTTCACAAACCTCTCGAACTGCTCGTTGCTGACCTCGTACTGATCCATGTAGAAGCTCTTCAGGTGGACTCTCCTGGCAGGGCCCTCCCCATCCTGCGGGATTGCCGGCTCCTGGGTGCCCATGGTGAACACCCCTCCCGGAATCGCCACCATCTGCAGGGCAAACACCCCCCAAGAGGCTGAAATCAAAGACTGAGAAGCCTCAGCTGGTCTTGCTGCCCCTCCTCCTCCTCCTCTCTGCAAGGTGTTTTTGTCCTGAGCAGAGATTCACTTGCAAACAGCACAACAAAACAGCTCCTGTTTGGGGCAAGGAGCAAGTGGAACTTGAATTGAGAACAACCCCTATTTGCAGCTCTTTGTACACAAAGTCTGGGCAGTGCCAGTGCTCCCACAAGGAGAAACATGTTAACTGGTTTTTATGTTGCAGTTTGCTGTTGTTCCTGCAGTTACACCCCTGCCAGTGCACAAAGGAGCAGTAAATAAGCTCATTTACTGAAATAAGAGCAGTAAATAAGCTCATTACATCCTATCCAGTAACTCTCTCTGTTCTTCAGGGCAGCTGCAGGATTTGACATGACCTTACACACCCAATTTCATTGTTTCTTCTCCACTACAGATCTCTCCTCCTGCTGCACCCTCAGATCTTTCTCCCCTAAGAAGAATCTGAGCCCTTAAAGATTGTCTGTAACTGAATCCATAATGGGGCTTTAGGGTAAATTTGCTTACATTTTTTAGGACTTAGCAAATGACAACGTGGTGCAAAGTTGCACCACTTCCTTCCTTCCAACCTCTCTTCAACCCACTGCAGCCAAAACTCCCTGAAGCAACCTTCAGGTTGAGAGCTCAGGTCTAAACCCTTGTGCAAAAAAATTAACTCTTGCTGGCTCCCAGTTCTAAAACCCAGTGGGAATAATTAATCCCATTTGTGGGTGAGGCAGAGCCCAATTCTCCCCTCACTTCCCTGCCGGGAAAGAGGCTTTCCAGCTGAACATCATCAAGTTATGGTCTGAGCATAACTTAAACCAGCAGCAATTAGCTTTAATTGCCTACTGCTGCAGTTGCCAGCTGCATGAAATCAAATTATTTTTTTCATCCTACACACCCCAGTGAACTGCTCAGGTTTGTTACACGAAACGTGTACCAGTGACATGGACCCCAAGCACAGTCAGGATTATGTAACTCATACTCTTTAAAAACTCTCCAATTTCTGAAGTGCAGCCTACAATAACCAGGTCACAGTTACCACTGTGCCTCCTTGCCTTGGCTGATGCAGCTTCCCAGTGTTACAAAGAGGCAATCACAGAAGCAGCCCTTCACATTCTCACTGTTTCCAAGCCATCCCACACAAGAAAAAGACCCAAATCTGCTGGGATAGAATTTTGTATGCCAAAGGTTACTGGCATCCTTCATAAAAAGAAACAGCAATGTGATTTTTTATAATTTAATTTCTAATAACAGTGAGGTATTTGGTCTCAGTGTCCTTTCACACTAGGCACTGCCTCAGCACCTTCACACACTGCCCTCAGCAAGGGCCACATTCACCTCTGGGTGGGTCTCACAGAAAAGCAGCAAGAGAAGGAACAAGCAATTAAAGAGACTTTCACTTGAGGAGAACCTGAAAGGAACACAGCACTGGAACTGCTGTTCCCGGGGTTACCCGGCCCTGCCAAAACAGAGGGACGAGAGGAACAGCCGGACTGGCCCTGTCACAGCCCAGTTTAGCCCAGGGACGAGCAGCGGGACCCCGGGCAGGGCACAGGCACCGCTGCCCGGAGCCCCCATCCTAAGCGGCACCCCAGGAGTGCGGGAGCCGCCGGAGCTCTCCGGGAGGGAAAAGCGAGCTGGGACCAGCACAAGCACCTGCCCCAAGCTCAGTTTCTCGTGCGAGCCGTGAACCGGCTGTTTCTCCACAGCAGTTCTCTGGCTGCTCCGTTATCCCAAAGCGCCCTGCCCACAGGACCGACCCCTCAGGGCGCCTGGACCCCGCCTGAGACCGCGGGGACCACCCCGCCCGCCCGCCGGGACCCTCCCGACCCCCACCGGCACCCTCGCTCACCGGCCCGTGCCCGCCGCTCCACCCGCTGCCCGCAGCCGCCGCCGCCGAGTAGCGCCGCGCCGCCAACTCCCGCCCGTCCCCGGCGGCCCGGCCGGCGCCGCACCCGCAGCTCCCGGCCTCGGCAGCCCCCGCTGTTCCCGCTGTTCCCGCTATTCCCATTCCCATCCACATTCCCAGCAGCAGGAACACCCCGCGCGCGGCCCCGCTGGGCGTCGCCATGTTGGCGCCGGGATCACGTGTCGCCCGCCGTCACGTGACCGCCCGCGCCTTAAAGGGGCCGCACCGCGCCCTGAGGGGGCGGGAGTGGGGGGGCCCACTGTGGGACATGGAGCATCCCTGAGGAGGAGAGGCTGCTTAGGGCCTGTTTAGTCTAGAGAAAAGTGAAAAGGGATCTCATCCATCCACAGAAACATCTCAAATATCCACACAAATATCTAATCTCAGAGGGGATCTCATCGATCCATACAGAGATCTCGAATATTGATACAAATATCTCATCTGAGGGGGGAGCTTATCAGTCCATACAAATGTCTCATCAGCCCATGTAAGTATCTGAAATATCCACACAAATACCTCACCTGAAAGGAGATCTCACCAATCCATAGAAATATCTGAAATATCCACACAAATACCTCACCTGAAAGGAGATCTCACCAATCCATAGAAATATCTCAAATATCCACACAAATACCTCACCTGAGAGGGGATCTCACCAATCCATAGAAATATCTCAAATATCCACACA